GAGCCGGGCCTCTCCTCTCAGCCGAGGCGCTCGGGCGGATCTTTCCCATTCGGGAGTAAGCAGGGGTGAAAGTACCAGCACTTAGCGGTACTCAGCTTCGGGCAGCCAGAGTCCATGGCACGGCGGGGGCAGCTCTGGGCCCCCTGAAGGGGCGGGGCCTCAAATGGAAGGGGCGGGGCCTCGCCTCAAATGGAGGGGGCGGGGCCTCAAATGGAAGGGGCGGGGCCTCAAATGGAAGGGGCGGGGCTGGGGACTTTTAAATCACCAGGCCCCGGGCCAGCTGCCCCTTTTGCTCTTCCTCCTCCCCGCCAGCTGCTTGACCCCTGGGCGTAAGGTCTGCAAGGACACAGAGACCAGCTGGAGCAACGCACCGGCCGGTGGCTTCGCTCCTGCTTCCCTCCCTGCCATTCCCCAGCACCGCAGCCAGACAACACCCGCAGAGGCCAGCGGCCTGCAGTTACGCAAACACCCCGGCGAGCCCTCCTCCGACTCCCTCTAAACAACCAGCTGCCAGGCGCCACTCCGGAGGGGACGGGCCAGGCAGAGAGCACAGCCTCATGCTACTGGGGGCCAGGCGACTGTGTTGGCCACGCCAGTGTGGGGCAGGAGGGCTGCGACGTGCCCCTGGGCTCTCCCCGAACATTCCTGACGGGAGACAGGTGGAAATGTCCCCGCAGTCTGGGGTGCTGAACAGTCACCCCCAGCTCTGGACGCCTGATCCTGCAGGCTGAGCCCTGGCACACTCGGCACACCGAGACACTGGGAGATGGAGGCTGACAGAAAGTGGGCTCCTGCCTCCTGCTCATGCCACCTCATGGGGCCCCCGCACCGGCTTTGCCTTAAGGGGACCACAAATGGGCGGAAGAGAGGAGCAAAAACCAGACCAAGGGGAGGGATGGGGGTGTGCAGGGAGGCCCAGACAGGCGGGGCCAGAGGAGAGGGAGGGATGGGGGTGTGCAGGGAGGCCCAGACAGGCGGGGCCCGAGGAGAGGGAGGGATGGGGGTGTGCAGGGAGGCCCAGACAGGCGGGGCCCGAGGAGAGGGAGGGATGGGGGTGTGCAGGGAGGCCCAGACAGGCGGGGCCGGGGGGGAGGGAGGGATGGGGGTGGGCGGGGGGGGCAGGGCGC